TATAACTGATCAACAACATCTTCATAGAAGAACTGGATTATTACTTCTTACAAGTTTCCTGTTTTTCTTCCTATCCCTAATTACAACCATACAACAACCGTAACTAACTTTTGCTCGCAAGAGTGCTTATTTCTTGGCTACTTTACTAACACAAAGGTTATAAATGTGTTACGCCCAGTACAAAATTGATCATTTCCAAGGAGTTTAGTCTTAAACGAGTTCCGCTACCCATACTCAACCTAACTTCCTCCTTTCGCTGTCCATCAATGCAAACTTTCCTCATTCTCTATCTCATTAATCCCACAGCAGTCCTGACAAATCATTGACCCTCTGTCTAATGTTCCTAACCCCAATGTCTCTCCTTGTTCGTGTCCAATAGATCAGTCCTATCCTTCACCCTCTAATGTCAATACTCCACCACCTTCACCCTCTAATGTCAATACTCCACCAGAACAACCCACATCTCCCTGTCCCTAAAACATTCATCCCATTCTTCTCCTCATCCACTTGGAACCAAACACTTCCAAACCAGCCTTAGAAGACACCAACTAGCTTGATGCCATGAAAGCTGAATTTACTATCCTTCAAGTTAATAACAGTTAGACTCTTGTCATTCTTTCTTCTAACAAGAAACCCATTGATTGCAAATGGGTTTTATGTATGTGAAAGTTTAAAAGATGGTAAAAATATTATTACTGTGTTAAAGTTTCTATTACACAAAAAAGTCCTATATAAGGAACAATGGACCAGCCCTAAAAGCCCATTATACAATACAATATATTTCAACACTCCCCCTCAAGCTGGAGCATATAGATCATATGCACCAAGCTTGGAACATATACATTGAATCCTAGGCCCCCTTAGAGATTTGGTCATAATGTCTCCGAGTTGTTCATTAGAATTGACAAACTCAGTAACAAGTTCCTTAGTCAACAACTTCTCTCTAATAAAATGACAATCAATTTCTATATGTTTTGTTCTCTCATGAAACACTGGATTGGAGGCAATATGAAGGGCTGCTTGGTTGTCACAGTACAGTTTCAAAGACTCATTTCCACAAAATTTCAACTCTTGGAGAAGTTGCTTGATCCACACAAGTTCGCATGTAGTCAAAGCCATAGATCGGTATTCAGCTTCAGCACTAGATCTAGCAACAACACTTTGTTTCTTACTTCTCCAAGATATAAGGTTCCCTCCAAGTAGAACACAATATCCTGTAGTAGATCTTCGATCAATTGGAGAACCAGCCCAATCTGCATCACAATATCCTTCAATCTGAGTGCTTCCCTTGTCCTCATACAACAATCCCTGTCCTGGATTTCCTTTTATGTATCTGAGAATTCGAATCACTGCATTCCAATGGTCAACATGTGGATTTTGCATAAATTGACTCACAACTCCCACTGGATAAGAAAGATCAGGTCTTGTTATTGTAAGATATATGAGTTTTCCAACCAGCCTTCTATATCTCTCTGGATCTGAGAAAGGTTCACCTTGATCTCTCATTAGCTTTTGATTTGAGTCCATAGGACTATCAATAGGCTTGCAATTTGTCAAGCCTGTTTCCTCTAAAATATCAAGAGCATATTTCCTTTGTGAAATGATGACACCTTCTTTTGACTGTGCTACTTCAATACCAAGGAAGTATTTTAGACGACCCAGATCTTTAGTCTGAAAGTGGTTGAACAAATGATTCTTTAATTGAGTAATTTTAGTGTTGTCATTCCCTGTAATAACAATATCATCAACATACACCATGAGATAAACACATTTGTCAGGAGAAAAATGACCATAAAACACTGAGTGATCCGCCTCACATCGTTTCAATCCAAAATTTTGCACAACCCGACTAAATTTACCAAACCAAGCACGGGGTGATTGTTTCAAGCCATAGAGGGAACGACGTAATTTACAAACTAACCCAGACTCCCCCTGAGCAACAAACCCAGGAGGTTGCTCCATGTATATCTCCTCTTCCAGATCACCATGAAGAAAGGCATTTTTAATGTCCAACTGGTAAAGTGGCCAATGACGAATGGCAGCCATAGCAAGTAAAATACGAACTGTACTGGTTTTAGCCACAGGAGAAAAAGTATCACAATAATCAATGCCATAAACTTGAGTATATCCCTTAGCTACTAGACGAGCTTTTAGACGATCAATTTCACCAGTAGGACCAACCTTAATAGCATAAACCCATCGGCAGCCAACAGGCTTCTTACCAGGAGGAAGAGGAACAAGGTCCCAAGTACCATTGTGGTCAAGGGCCTGCATTTCATCAATCATGGCTTGACGCCATCCAGGATGATCAAGTGCCTCATAAATATTATTAGGAGTCTTAAGGGAGGATAAGGAAGAAACAAAAGAGAAATAGGTAGAAGACAAACGATGATAACTCAAAAAATTATAAACAGGATATGGATTACGAGTAGAACGAATACCTTTTCGAAGGGCAATGGGCAAATTATCATCTGAGTCAGTAGAAGACGAGGAGGATGAAGGATCCATGGTCTGGTGAGCTGAGGGAGGAGGAGATGAGTCTAGAGGATCTTCATTGTTCTGAGCTTGAGATTGTCTCCGACGCTGATATGTGATAAGAGGTGGAGGAACAATGTCATTCACATTTTGAGTTTGAGGTATAGAAGCAGGAATAACCAAGGGATCACACGATGGTAGAGGAAACATTTGTTGAACAGATGAACGATCCTCCACAGAGGACGAGAAAAACGGTGTATCCTCAAAGAATGTGACATCAGCAGACATATAATATCTCTTGGTGGAGGGAGAATAACATTTATACCCTTTCTGAAGACGAGAATATCCCAAGAAGACACACTTAATAGCCTTTGCGGATAGCTTATCAAGACCTGGAGAAACATTATGGACAAAACATGTACACCCAAATACACGTGGGGAGATATGATATAGAGTGTCATTTGGAAAAATGACAGAATGAGGAATTTTATTTTCAAGAGAGGAAGAAGGCATCCTATTGATTAGAAAACAGGCAGTGAGGACTGCATCGCCCCAGTGATGTACAGGGATATTAGTATTCAACATCAAGGAGCGTGCAGTTTCAATGAGATGTCTATTCTTCCTCTCTGCAATACCATTTTGTTGTGGAGTGTGAGGACATGTTGACTGATGTAAAATTCCTTGGGAAGATAAAAATGAAGAAAACGCTAAAGAAAAATATTCCTTAGCATTATCACTACGAAGGATTTTAATTGTCTTCCCAAATTGGTTCTTAATTTCATTAATAAAAGACACAAATATGGACAAAAGTTCAGATCTCTCTTTCATTAAATAAACCCAAGTACATCGAGAGAATTCATCAATGAAGGTTACAAAATAATTAAAACCAAAAGAAGTAACACGACTTGGTCCCCAAATATCAGAGTGAATAGTTGAGAAAGGAGAATTACATAGTGTCTCAGACTTTTTAGGATGAGAAGATCTAACATGTTTTCCTAATTGACACGACTCACAATCTAAGACTTGAATGTTCTTGAGACTTGGAACCATCATCTTCAACTTGGATAAACTTGGATGGCCCAACCGATCATGCAAAAGTTTTGGAGATGAAGTGGTAAAACAGGAAACTGAAGAGCTATGTTTCAAAAAATAAAGTCCTCGAGACTCATGTCCTTCTCCAATCAGGCGACCCGTACCATGTTCCTGTATAACAAAGGAATTAGCAGTAAAGGTTACAGAACAATTTAAGGAACGAGTCAATTGGCTCAAGGAGATTAAATTGTAAGGACAATGAGGAATATACAAAACAGAATTTAAGCCTAACTCAACCCCACAAAACCGGCTTGTAGGGTGAGGTTTGCACCTCACTTATATATTATAATTTGGCCTTATCTCTAGTCGATGTGGGACTTCCAACACACCCCCTTCACGCCGAGGTATAGACATCTCGTGCGTGATAGTAGAAATTGGGTGGTCCGATAATGGCCCGATAGCGGGTGGAATAGAAGAATAGAATGCCCACTTAGAACTCACTAGGATAGGCTCTAACCATGGCTCTGATACCATGTGAAAGTTTGAAAGATGGTAAAAATATTATTACTGTGTTAAAGTTTCTATTACACAAAAAAGTCCTATATAAGGAACAATGGACCAGCCCTAAAAGCCCATTATACAATACAATATATTTCAACAATGTAAAAGAAACTGTTGATGGTTCTTTGAATAAATATACGACATGATTCATTCTAAAGGGTTTTAATTAACTTTATGGCTTTGTTATCAGTGAGACATTCTCTCCTATTATAAAACCTGTCACTATTCGGATTATGTTCACACTGCTCTTACTTATGGTTGGTCTTTGGAGCAATCAATGTTAATAATGTCTTTCTTAGAACAAATGTACATGATAGGGCCCCTTGGTTATGAAGTTTGTAATAAATCTCTTATTTTGTCCACTGCAAGTTGCGAACTTCAACATCAACCCACTGCAATCCAGAAAATTTGTGATCCGGAGTAGACACAAGCTCTGAAACAGAGAAGATCATGAACACATATGATATTGCATGTAATTTTGTCTACCATTAGTGTAGTTCTTACGAGTGCTCTTGAGAAATTATGTGAGCTGTCCTTAGCTTAGGCGGTTAGTTTAGATGTAACCTCTTGCAGTGGCTATATCTACACTCTTGCTACTTAGTCCCGGTTAAAGCGATGAATTTCTTTTTTTTTATGAAATTACATCTCTAAATATTTTCTCTGAACCATTAATATTCATGGTCAAGGAATTGTTGCAAAAGGCTTTACTGGATGTCTCAAGGAATGGAAGGGTTACCTTTGCCTTCTGCCATGATAAAAAATGGCCCATTCTAAACTCGTGCTTATTCTCAAAACTCATTTATTTCTCAGTTAAATTGTCTATAATTCATGCAGACTGATGTTGTGTCTACTGTTTTGAATTACATTAGAACAAGAATTCCCACTTTTCTCCTTATAATTTGTATTTTCTGTTTGGTGTTTCTGTTTACCAGGTACTTTTAAAATTATAAGTAAATGTATCAAAGGTAAAGGTTTTTCAGGGACAAAACGGTACTTTGGTGATTTAGGGAAAACTGTGAGTTCTTAAATCTTTGTTGGCAATTTTTTCATTAAATTACAAATGTGATTATGGAGTATCAGCATATTAATCAATTCAAAACTACTCAGCAGTTGAGATCAGCAGGCTCCAATATTGCTTTTGCAGCTGTAGCTGAAATATCAGACTCTGTTCTGAAAGGTGCAGAGGCAAATGGTTTCAATGGATTGGTAAAGAATTAACACCTGATTGTTAATTTGGTTACTATCATTTTATTAGGGACTTATTCTCTATTGAATTGTGATGAGTTTAATACTTCATTTTTGTCATTTAATTTTCAAGATGAGTGGCTTCCACCAAGGAATTCTAAAATTGGCTATGGAACCATCAGTTCTGGGAACTGCTTTGATGGAAGGTGGCCCCGATAGAAAAATACTGCTTGATCGAAGTCCAGGAGTTGACGAGGTGTTAAATATTTTGAATATTATTCTCTTGGGTTGTATGTTCATTTCCAGAAATGTGTCTTTCTTAATTCCTTTGTTTTGAAACAAAATTGTTTCGAACTTTAGAAAGAATGTATGCATATTGTTGGAAAGTCACCTGAGTTACGCTGACTCCAAACTTACTTTAATACGGGAGTGATTTCATCCTGTCTTGACTGAAGTTATGACTTACATAGAACTTAAAGCATGACAATGCTCAACTTAGATCTTAAGTTTAAATTTTAAGATGGTATTAAAACCCATCTTAAATCAATTGTTGAGCCACTTGCACTGCATTTTCCTTGCTCCAAGCCAGTCACCATAGGCATGAGGAGCAGAGTTGGAAAGTCATTTTTATTGCCGTCACCCCTAGTTTGCCTTAATCCCCGTCTCTAGGGTGATGGTTTGGTCCCAGATAGAGATATTATTTGATTGACTAAACCCTAAGTTCAAATTCTGAGACATATCAAATATCTGGCAAGTAAACATAGAAATTTGTTTGGATTTTTTCTATAATAGGTACTAACTTATTTATAGGAGTGTATAGCTTCTTTTTGAAGTTTGTCTTGTATATTTTTATCATAGGTTTGGTCTATTCTCTTCATGATTCATTATTCTTTATTTTTTTTTTTATGTAATGGTAGATGAGAGATGTACTTTAGGATGTGAGCATAATTGAGATGTCAAAATGTATGTGATGCATAACATGAGTTTTTTATTAAAAATAAAAATAATTGAATGAAAAAAGGACGGAATATCATTTTTTAATAAATGAAACTGCACACACCATTAGATTATTAGACTAACCAAATAATTACTCTCCTAAATTATATTTTTGTGGTCACTGATGTTCTGTTTTAATAGGAAAAGTAGTTACAATAATTTCAAATCCGACCGTTGTGGGACTGTAATAACACAGTATATAGCTGAAAANGTTTTCCAACCAGCCTTCTATATCTCTCTGGATCTGAGAAAGGTTCACCTTGATCTCTCATTAGCTTTTGATTTGAGTCCATAGGACTATCAATAGGCTTGCAATTTGTCAAGCCTGTTTCCTCTAAAATATCAAGAGCATATTTCCTTTGTGAAATGATGACACCTTCTTTTGACTGTGCTACTTCAATACCAAGGAAGTATTTTAGACGACCCAGATCTTTAGTCTGAAAGTGGTTGAACAAATGATTCTTTAATTGAGTAATTTTAGTGTTGTCATTCCCTGTAATAACAATATCATCAACATACACCATGAGATAAACACATTTGTCAGGAGAAAAATGACCATAAAACACTGAGTGATCCGCCTCACATCGTTTCAATCCAAAATTTTGCACAACCCGACTAAATTTACCAAACCAAGCACGGGGTGATTGTTTCAAGCCATAGAGGGAACGACGTAATTTACAAACTAACCCAGACTCCCCCTGAGCAACAAACCCAGGAGGTTGCTCCATGTATATCTCCTCTTCCAGATCACCATGAAGAAAGGCATTTTTAATGTCCAACTGGTAAAGTGGCCAATGACGAATGGCAGCCATAGCAAGTAAAATACGAACTGTACTGGTTTTAGCCACAGGAGAAAAAGTATCACAATAATCAATGCCATAAACTTGAGTATATCCCTTAGCTACTAGACGAGCTTTTAGACGATCAATTTCACCAGTAGGACCAACCTTAATAGCATAAACCCATCGGCAGCCAACAGGCTTCTTACCAGGAGGAAGAGGAACAAGGTCCCAAGTACCATTGTGGTCAAGGGCCTGCATTTCATCAATCATGGCTTGACGCCATCCAGGATGATCAAGTGCCTCATAAATATTATTAGGAGTCTTAAGGGAGGATAAGGAAGAAACAAAAGAGAAATAGGTAGAAGACAAACGATGATAACTCAAAAAATTATAAACAGGATATGGATTACGAGTAGAACGAATACCTTTTCGAAGGGCAATGGGCAAATTATCATCTGAGTCAGTAGAAGACGAGGAGGATGAAGGATCCATGGTCTGGTGAGCTGAGGGAGGAGGAGATGAGTCTAGAGGATCTTCATTGTTCTGAGCTTGAGATTGTCTCCGACGCTGATATGTGATAAGAGGTGGAGGAACAATGTCATTCACATTTTGAGTTTGAGGTATAGAAGCAGGAATAACCAAGGGATCACACGATGGTAGAGGAAACATTTGTTGAACAGATGAACGATCCTCCACAGAGGACGAGAAAAACGGTGTATCCTCAAAGAATGTGACATCAGCAGACATATAATATCTCTTGGTGGAGGGAGAATAACATTTATACCCTTTCTGAAGACGAGAATATCCCAAGAAGACACACTTAATAGCCTTTGCGGATAGCTTATCAAGACCTGGAGAAACATTATGGACAAAACATGTACACCCAAATACACGTGGGGAGATATGATATAGAGTGTCATTTGGAAAAATGACAGAATGAGGAATTTTATTTTCAAGAGAGGAAGAAGGCATCCTATTGATTAGAAAACAGGCAGTGAGGACTGCATCGCCCCAGTGATGTACAGGGATATTAGTATTCAACATCAAGGAGCGTGCAGTTTCAATGAGATGTCTATTCTTCCTCTCTGCAATACCATTTTGTTGTGGAGTGTGAGGACATGTTGACTGATGTAAAATTCCTTGGGAAGATAAAAATGAAGAAAACGCTAAAGAAAAATATTCCTTAGCATTATCACTACGAAGGATTTTAATTGTCTTCCCAAATTGGTTCTTAATTTCATTAATAAAAGACACAAATATGGACAAAAGTTCAGATCTCTCTTTCATTAAATAAACCCAAGTACATCGAGAGAATTCATCAATGAAGGTTACAAAATAATTAAAACCAAAAGAAGTAACACGACTTGGTCCCCAAATATCAGAGTGAATAGTTGAGAAAGGAGAATTACATAGTGTCTCAGACTTTTTAGGATGAGAAGATCTAACATGTTTTCCTAATTGACACGACTCACAATCTAAGACTTGAATGTTCTTGAGACTTGGAACCATCATCTTCAACTTGGATAAACTTGGATGGCCCAACCGATCATGCAAAAGTTTTGGAGATGAAGTGGTAAAACAGGAAACTGAAGAGCTATGTTTCAAAAAATAAAGTCCTCGAGACTCATGTCCTTCTCCAATCAGGCGACCCGTACCATGTTCCTGTATAACAAAGGAATTAGCAGTAAAGGTTACAGAACAATTTAAGGAACGAGTCAATTGGCTCAAGGAGATTAAATTGTAAGGACAATGAGGAATATACAAAACAGAATTTAAGCCTAACTCAACCCCACAAAACCGGCTTGTAGGGTGAGGTTTGCACCTCACTTATATATTATAATTTGGCCTTATCTCTAGTCGATGTGGGACTTCCAACACACCCCCTTCACGCCGAGGTATAGACATCTCGTGCGTGATAGTAGAAATTGGGTGGTCCGATAATGGCCCGATAGCGGGTGGAATAGAAGAATAGAATGCCCACTTAGAACTCACTAGGATAGGCTCTAACCATGGCTCTGATACCATGTGAAAGTTTGAAAGATGGTAAAAATATTATTACTGTGTTAAAGTTTCTATTACACAAAAAAGTCCTATATAAGGAACAATGGACCAGCCCTAAAAGCCCATTATACAATACAATATATTTCAACAATGTAAAAGAAACTGTTGATGGTTCTTTGAATAAATATACGACATGATTCATTCTAAAGGGTTTTAATTAACTTTATGGCTTTGTTATCAGTGAGACATTCTCTCCTATTATAAAACCTGTCACTATTCGGATTATGTTCACACTGCTCTTACTTATGGTTGGTCTTTGGAGCAATCAATGTTAATAATGTCTTTCTTAGAACAAATGTACATGATAGGGCCCCTTGGTTATGAAGTTTGTAATAAATCTCTTATTTTGTCCACTGCAAGTTGCGAACTTCAACATCAACCCACTGCAATCCAGAAAATTTGTGATCCGGAGTAGACACAAGCTCTGAAACAGAGAAGATCATGAACACATATGATATTGCATGTAATTTTGTCTACCATTAGTGTAGTTCTTACGAGTGCTCTTGAGAAATTATGTGAGCTGTCCTTAGCTTAGGCGGTTAGTTTAGATGTAACCTCTTGCAGTGGCTATATCTACACTCTTGCTACTTAGTCCCGGTTAAAGCGATGAATTTCTTTTTTTTTATGAAATTACATCTCTAAATATTTTCTCTGAACCATTAATATTCATGGTCAAGGAATTGTTGCAAAAGGCTTTACTGGATGTCTCAAGGAATGGAAGGGTTACCTTTGCCTTCTGCCATGATAAAAAATGGCCCATTCTAAACTCGTGCTTATTCTCAAAACTCATTTATTTCTCAGTTAAATTGTCTATAATTCATGCAGACTGATGTTGTGTCTACTGTTTTGAATTACATTAGAACAAGAATTCCCACTTTTCTCCTTATAATTTGTATTTTCTGTTTGGTGTTTCTGTTTACCAGGTACTTTTAAAATTATAAGTAAATGTATCAAAGGTAAAGGTTTTTCAGGGACAAAACGGTACTTTGGTGATTTAGGGAAAACTGTGAGTTCTTAAATCTTTGTTGGCAATTTTTTCATTAAATTACAAATGTGATTATGGAGTATCAGCATATTAATCAATTCAAAACTACTCAGCAGTTGAGATCAGCAGGCTCCAATATTGCTTTTGCAGCTGTAGCTGAAATATCAGACTCTGTTCTGAAAGGTGCAGAGGCAAATGGTTTCAATGGATTGGTAAAGAATTAACACCTGTTTGTTAATTTGGTTACTATCATTTTATTAGGGACTTATTCTCTATTGAATTGTGATGAGTTTAATACTTCATTTTTGTCATTTAATTTTCAAGATGAGTGGCTTCCACCAAGGAATTCTAAAATTGGCTATGGAACCATCAGTTCTGGGAACTGCTTTGATGGAAGGTGGCCCCGATAGAAAAATACTGCTTGATCGAAGTCCAGGAGTTGACGAGGTGTTAAATATTTTGAATATTATTCTCTTGGGTTGTATGTTCATTTCCAGAAATGTGTCTTTCTTAATTCCTTTGTTTTGAAACAAAATTGTTTCGAACTTTAGAAAGAATGTATGCATATTGTTGGAAAGTCACCTGAGTTACGCTGACTCCAAACTTACTTTAATACGGGAGTGATTTCATCCTGTCTTGACTGAAGTTATGACTTACATAGAACTTAAAGCATGACAATGCTCAACTTAGATCTTAAGTTTAAATTTTAAGATGGTATTAAAACCCATCTTAAATCAATTGTTGAGCCACTTGCACTGCATTTTCCTTGCTCCAAGCCAGTCACCATAGGCATGAGGAGCAGAGTTGGAAAGTCATTTTTATTGCCGTCACCCCTAGTTTGCCTTAATCCCCGTCTCTAGGGTGATGGTTTGGTCCCAGATAGAGATATTATTTGATTGACTAAACCCTAAGTTCAAATTCTGAGACATATCAAATATCTGGCAAGTAAACATAGAAATTTGTTTGGATTTTTTCTATAATAGGTACTAACTTATTTATAGGAGTGTATA